TGAGAATAAAATGGCTTTGTTTTAGTTTTTCTTTGCTGCAGATAAATAAATAAATAATTTATTTATTTATTTATTATTTATTTATTTTATTATTATTTGTAGACACAGGTAGCAGCTGGAGGGGACGGCAGTTTTGCTGCTGCAGCAGCAGCAACGCAGCCGCAGCAGCAGTTGCTGCTGCAGCAGCACTGCTAATGCTGCTGCAGCAGCAGCAGCAGCAGCAGCAGCAGCAGCAGCAGCAGCTTGAGCTGAGCAGATCAGATCTTGGGCTTTTGACCCCTAATTGCGCTTTATTTGCATTTAATTTTGATTAATTTGGATTTAATTTTAATTAATTTGCATTTTATTTTAATTATTTTGCATTTAATTGCATTTTTATTCGCATTTTGTTTCGAACTCGACCAGCACTTCTGCTGCTGCTGCCTCTGACTTTGCTGCTGCGGATTTCAAACTTCTGGACTTCAAATTAATTCATTTTGGATTTATTTTTTCAATTTTTAATTCTTTTTTAATTTATTTATTTTAATTTTTAATTTCTTTTCCATTTAATTCCAATTTCAGACGTTAGTTCGCCTTTTAGAGGCCTTCGGCCGCTGCATGCTGGGCCGGCGGGTGCCCTGCTGCTGCTGCTGCTGCTGCTGCTGCTGCTGCTGCTGCTGCTGCTGCTCGTCGTTGCTGCTGCTGCTGCAGCGGCGTGTTCCTTTTGTTGCTGCTTTCATTGCTTCAGTTTTAAAATTAGCTGCTGCCTGATGGCCCCACCGGGCTTCAGGCGCAAAGGCACAGCTAGTTCCTAGCTGCTGCTGCAGCAGCTGCTGCAGCAGGAGCTGCTGCTGCAGCAGCTGCTGCTGCAGCAGCGGCAGTAGCAGCTCCAGCTGTAGCTGCTCCAGCTGCTGTTGCTGCTGCTGCTGCTGCGGCTGCCGCTGAACTATGGGGCGTCCGCAGGCCGCCCTGAGATGGGCTTAGTCCCGCAGCAGCTGCAGCAGCAGCAGCAGCAGCAGCAGCAGCAGCAGCAGCGACAGTGTCTAGACACACAAAACGCAGTAGTCTCTCAGTGAGCGCGCGTGCTCCTGCTGCAGCAACCGCTGCTGCTGCTGCTGCTGCTGCTGCTGCCGCTTGCAGAGGCTGCTGCTGCTGCAGCTGCTGCAGCAGCAGCAGCAGCAGCTGCTGCTGCTGCAGCAGCAGCAGCTGCTGCTGCTGCTGCAAGCGCTACGAAGGCCACCAGGCGTGGCTGTCTTGCTGCAGCAGCTGCTGCTGCTCCTCGCTGCTGAGCTGCAGCAGCCGAGCGATGACCGGCAGCAGCTGCTGCGCTGCTGCATCTCCTTTTTGTTTAAACTGCAGAAACTTCAGCAGCACATGCTTCAGATACTCTACATTCAAAGCCATGCTGCTGCTGCTGCTGCTGCTGCTGCTGCTGCTGCTGCTGCTGATGCTGCTGCTGCTGCTGCTGCTGCCGTTGGGCGTTTGCGGCGGCGCAGTGGGGGGCGCAGTGGGGGGCGGGGGTGGGGGTAGAGCGTTGCTGCTGCTGCTGCTGCTGTTGCTGCTGTTGCTGCTGCTGCTGCTGCTGCTGCTATTTAGGGGCTTCAGTTCCTGCTGCTGCTGCCTCAGCCTCGCAACTTCTTGCTGCAGCTGCAGCAGCAGCTGCTGCTGTTCTTCTTGCTGCTGCTGCAGCATGTCGCGCTGCTGCTGTACAGCCTCGAGCTGCCGCTGCTTCTCAAGCAGCGCTTGCTGCTGAGGCAGCTCGGCTGCTGCGTCCCGCTGCTGCTGCTGCTGCTGCTGCTGCTGCTGCTGCTGCTGCTGCTGCAGCCGCTGCCGCAGCCTATTAAGGGCGGCCTCCTTGCTAAGAAGAAGCGTGCGGGCTTGCTCTCGGTGTCTTTCCAAGTCTTGCTGCTGCTGCTGCAGCAGCTGCTGCTGCTGCAGCAGCAGCTGCTGCTGCTGCTGCATTATGCTGACTTCCTCCTGCAGCCCGTCAGCTCGCTCCTTTTGCTGCTGCGCCTCTTGCTGCAGCTTCTCGAGCTGCTGCTGCATCAGCTGCTGCTGCTCTTGAGTCATTCCTTCGCTAGCAGCAGCAGCAGCAGCAGCAGCAGCAGCAGCAGCAGCGCCTCGCTCACTGCTACTGCTGCTGTCACTGCTGCTGCTTCTGCTGCTGCTGCTGCTGCTGCTGCTGCTGCTTTCCTCCGAGGTGCAGCCACCTTCGCCTTGCATGTTGGGAGCCCCATCTTGCTGCTGCTGCGCATCGGCCGTTGCTGCTGCTTGCTGCTGCTGCAGCGCGCGGCACCTGCTGCAGCCGGCTGAGGCTTCGCTGCTGCAGGCGTCTGCTGCTGCTGCTGCTGCTGCTGTGGCTGCAGCAACAGCCTTGCGCTGCTGCAGCAGCTGCAGCAGCAAAGCCGCCTTTTCCCTGGTGAGTGAGGCCACCTGCTGCTCGAGCTCGAGAAGGCGCTGCTGCTGCTGCTGCTGCTGCTGCTGCTGCTCTTGCTCCCGCTGCTGCTGCTGCTGCTGCAGCAGCAGCTGCTGCTGCTGCTGCTGCTCCTCTCGGGTGCTGCAGGACCCCAGCTGCTTCTCTTCTTCTAACTCGAGCCATTTGCGGTGCAGCAAATCAGCAGAGAGCAGCGGCGCAGCGCGAGCAGCAGCAGCAGCTGCTGCTGCTGCTGCTGCGTCCCCCGCAGCAGCAGCAGCAGCAGCAGCAGCTACCAGCTGCAAAGACATCTCTCGGGGAAACAGCAGCAAACAAAAAGAAGCAAGAGCTCCTCTGTCTGTTTCGAGCCGCAGCAAATGGGCAGAGAGGCGCTGCGCGCACACAAAGACATCTATCATTTTGCTGCTGCTGCTGCTGCTGCTGCTGCTGCTGCTGCTGCTGGAGGGGTCCGCAGCAGAAGCAGCAGCAGCAGCAGCAACTGCGAGGCTCGCGTCCACCACGCCGAAGCGCTGCAGCACGTCCAGCAGCAGACTGTGTTCCTGCTGCTGCCGCTGCCGCAGCTGCTGCAGCTGCTGCTCCTGCTGCGCTGCTGCTGCTTCCAGCTGCCGGTTTCGCTGCAGCAGCAGCAGCACTTCGGACTCCCGCTGCTGCAGCTGCCGCAGCAGCACGGGCCCGTCCAGGTCGTCTAAGTCCTCCTCTCGCTGCTGCTGCTGCTGCAGCCGCAGCTGCTGCAGCTTCTGCAGCAGCTGCTGCTCTTCTGCTCTTGCTGCTGCTGCGTCAGCAGCTGCTGCTGCCGCTTCCTTTCCATGCCCGTCTTGTGCAGCAGCAGCAGCAGCTGCTGCTGCTGTTGCTGCGCCATCAGCAGCAGCAGCAGCAGGAATGAAACCAGCAAGGGAGTGGAGAAGATCGCTGCTGCTGCGGGCCCCTGCATGCAGCCGCGCAGCAAAAGAGGCGAAGCTCTTTGCTGCTCCTGCTGCTGCTGCTGCTCCCGCTTCTGCTGCTGCTGCTGCTGCTGCTGGCGCTGACGCTGCAGCAGAAGCAGATGGAACTGAGGCAGAACCAGCAGCTGCCTTCAAAGACAAAGACATTTGCTTCGAGTTCAAATCCAGCCTAGGGTTTAGGGTTTAGGGTCTAGGGTTTAGGGTTTAGGGTTTTAGCTCCGCGTTTTTCCCAGGTTGCTGCCTGCTGCTACAGCTCTCCGCTGTGCTGGTGCAGCCCTTGCTGCTGCTGCTGCTGCTGCTGCTGCTGCAGCAGCTGCTGCTGCTGGCACTGTTGCCACAAATTCACTAAGCGACGGACAGCCACGGGAGAGCAGAGGCGGCAGCAGCAGCAGCTGCTGCAGCTGCTGCAGCAGCTGCTGCTGCAGCGGCGGCAGCAGCAGCTTCTGCTGCTCCTGTTGCTCAGCTGAGCTGACAATGAGAAGAGCAAGACTTGCGTCTATAGAGAGGAAACTGCCCGTTTTGCTCTTCCAGTGTTGCTGCTGCTGCTACTAGTGTTGCTGCTGCTGCTGCTGCTGCTGCTGCTGCTGCTGCAGTCGCCTGCGTTCGAGTCTATAGACAGCTGCACCACTCATCTCCGTCTCTCACGGATCTGCAGCTCTAAATTTGTATGAAAGCAACTCAATAGGCAGGCTCTAGCCCATGCAGCAGCAGCAGCAGCAGCTGCTGCTGCTGCTGCTGCTGCGGCTGCTGCTGCCTGCCAAGACCGCCTGCTGGGGCCCCCTGGGGCCCCACGCTGCTTCATCCGGAGGAGAGCAGCAGGCACTGCTGCTTAGCTGTGTCAAGATCGCAAAATAGCAGCAGCAACAAAGGCAGCAGCAGCAAGTTTGTTGCTGTTGCTGCTGCTGCTGCTGCAGCAGTCAACGACCCTTGCTCCGCCAGGGCCCCTCAAGTCGCAGCAGCAGCAGCAGCAGCAGCAGCAGCAGCAAATGCTCCGTATGAGCATTAATTGAGTTATATAACTCATTAGAGGGATGCTGCAGCAGACTGCTGCGTTGCAGCAGCAGCAACAGGCGCCACCGCTGCAGCAGCAGCAGCGACAACAGCAGCAGCAGCAGCGGCAGCAGCAGCAACCTCAGCCAGAACAATCAACAACAGAACCGCAGCAGCAGCAGCAGCAGGAAGAAGCTGAAAGGCCACAGCGGCACTCTCTGCTGCAGCCGCAGCCTTCGCCAGCGCAGCAGCAGCAGCAGCAGCAGCAGCAACAGCAGCAACAGTTGCTGCTGCAGCAGAACGACTTGCTGCTGTGCCATCCGCTGAAGCGGCTGCTGCATCTTCGGGCAGCAGTAGAGCCGCAGCTGCTGCAGTTCTTTGGTGTCCCTGTGCTGCTGCTGCAGCAGCTCAACGCTGACAACTGCTGCTGCTGCACTTCTTGTTGCTGCTGCGGGCTGCAGCAAACGCTGCTGCACCGTCAGCAGCAGCAGCAGCAGCAGCAGCAGCAGCAGCAGCAGCAAGAACAGCAGGACCAGGAATCTGGGAAGGTCGAAGGGCCCAGCAGCAGCAACAGCAGCAGAAGTAACAGCAGCAACAGCAAGAGCAGCGACGGCAGCACCAGCTGCAGCAGCACTAGTTGGAGCAGCAGCAGCAGCAGCAGCAGTAACAGCAGCAGCAGCCGCACACATTTTCCTGCAGCACCGTCTCTGGCAGATGCTGCGGCAGCAAACGCAGCAGCAGCAGCAGCAGCAGCAGCTGCTGCAGCAGACTCTGCAGCTTTCAAGTCACCGTGGATGAGAGATGCAGCAAGTCCAACAGCAGCAGCTGGGCATCCCTTTTTCGCTGTTTCTGCTGCTGCTGCCGCTGCTGCTGCTGCTGCTGCTGCTGCTGAGGCAGCAGAACTAGACGCCTTTGCTGCTGCAACGAGCACTGAGTGCAGCAGCAGCTGCTGCACTTGCACTGAAGCAGCAGCGGCAGCAGCAGCAGCAGGAAGCACGGGCAAAAGGAAGCGGCTGCTGCTGCTCACGTCCCGAGCAGCAGCAGCAGCAGCAGCAGCACTTGAGTGCAGCAGCAGCAGCAGCAGCACCAAGTCGGAGGTTCAGCAGTATGCGCAGCTGCTGCTGCTGCGCTCGCAGCTGCTGCTGCTGCCGACCCCACAGCTGCAGCACGGAAACGTTGTGGTCTTTGCCTGCGACTGGCTGCTGCTGCTGCAGCGGCTGCTGCAGCAGCAGCAGCGCGGCGCTGCAGCAGATGCAGCAGCAGCAGCAGCTGCAGCAATTAAAGGAAAGCAGGCAGAAACTCCCGCTCTCAAGCAGAGCAGCAAAAGGTTGCTGCTGCTGCCTGCTGCGCTGCCGCGGCAGCTGCTGCAGCTCTTTCGCTTCGTGCTGCTGCCGCTGCAGCAGCAAGGCTTGCTGCAGCAGCAGCAGCTTCTGGCAGCTTTCAAAGGCTATTTGCTGCAGTGGAGGCGGCGGCGTTTGGCCGCTGCTGCTGCGCTTTCAGAGGCAGCAGAAATAGCAGCAAATGCAGCAGCAGCAGCAGCTGCTGCTGCTGCTGCCGCAGCAGCAGCAGCTGCTGCGGGACCTGCCACGCAAACCTGTGGCCGTAAGCGACAGAGGCAGCAGACAGCATTAAGAACAGGAACAGCAGCAGCAGCAGCAGCAGCAGCAGCAGCAGCAGCAGCAGCAGCAGACCATTCAGCAGAAGCAGCAGCATCTGCAGCAGACCGTTCATCAGAAGCAGCAGCAGCAGCAGCAGCAGCAAGAGCAGCGCAGCAGCAGCTTAGGGACGTGCAGGCAGCAGCAAAGCGGCTGCTCTCCCTTGCAGAGGAACTTGCCCTCTGGCGGCTGATGAAACTGCAGCAGCAGCAGCTGCAGCAGCTGCAGCAGCAGCAGCAGCAGCAGCAGAAGCAGCAACAGCAGCAGAAGGGCGGCGACTGCGGTTCAACAAATGCCGCTGAGCCGCTCAGCAGCAGCAATAGCAGCAGCAGCAGTAGCAGCAGCCGCAATAGCAGCAGCAGCAATAGCAGCAGCAGCAATAGCAGCAGCAGCAATAGCAGCAGCAGCAGCAACAACGGCAGAGCTTTCGATGAACTGAGGCAGCAGCAGCAAAAGAAACAAGAGGAGCTGCTGCTGGAAATGCTTAGAAGCAGCAGCAGCAGCAGCAGCAGCAGCAGCAGCAGCAGCAGGACTCTCTCGGCCTTTTGCTGCCCCAGCAGCAAGTTGCTGTTTGGGGGCCCCCACAGAGTTCCCTGCGTATTATGTGCGCAGCAGCAAAAGGAAGCTGCTGCTGCTGGTTTGCTGCTGCTGCTGCAGGGCCTTGGTTTGCTGCGGTGCCCCCCCCTGTCCGGGCAGCAGCAGCAGCAGCAGCTGCTGCTGCAGCAGCAGCAGCAGCAGCCGCTGCTGCTGCTGTCGCTGCCCACTATCGGGCCCCTGTGCCTGTGGCTGCAGCAAGGGGAAGCAGAGCTGCTGCAGCGGCTGCGGCGGACGCAGCACAAAGAGCTGCTGCTGCAGCAGCTGCAGCAGCAGCAGCAGCAGCAGCCCCTCAAGGCCTGCGGCTTGGGCCTTCGCTTTTTGCTGCTGTTTTTGATTGGCTGCGGAAGGCTCAGGTGTGTCTCGCTGCCTCCCACCAACCAGCTGCTGCTGCAGATCCCCTAAATTAGGGTTTAGGGTTTAGGGTTTAGGGTTTACGGTATGTCTGGACACACGCCGCCTGCAGCAAAAGCAGCAGCAGCAGCAGCAGCAGCAGCAGCAGCAGCAGCAGCAGCAGCAGCAGTAAAGACTTTCTTCTACTGTCCAGCCGACTTAAAAAGTTATTGGTACAAATCCCTGGGGGCCCCCGGGGGGCCCCCTAGGGGGCCCCCTGGGGGCCCCCCTAGGGGGCCCCCTGGGGGCCCCCCGAGGGGCCCCCAGGGGGCCCCCCAGCAGACTCCCTGGGGGCCCTCGGGTTTGCTGTTGGGGGCCCCCCAAGATGGTATCTAGGCTTGCTAAGGAGCAGCAGCTACATGCCAGCTGCTGCTGCTGCTGCTGCTGCTGCTGCTGCAGTTGCTGCTGCTGCTGCGTCTTGCTGCAGCCGAAAGGGCGCGGAAGACGCAGCGCGGCAGCAGGTGAGAGGCGCTCCAGCAGCAGCAGCAGCAGCAGGAACTGCAGCAGCGGCTGCTGCTGCTGAGCCCGAAGAAGGTTTGCTGCTGCTGCTGCTGCTGCTAGTACTTGCACTGCCGCTGCTGCTGCTCGCCAAGAGCTGCAGCAGCTGCTGCTGCTGCTGCTGCTGCTGCTGGCTGTGCCACAGCAACAAGCCCTTCTGCTGCTCCAGCGGCACCGAATAGGAAGAAGCTGCTTGTCTTGCTGCTGGTGGCGCTGCTGCTGCTGCTGCTGGTGGCGCTGCTGCTGCTGCTGCTGCTGCTGCTGTTGCCGGTCTTGTTGCTGCGCAGTGTGGGGCGTAGCTGCTGCAGCAGCACTGCTTTGCTTGCTGCTGAGGAGCCACGCTGCCGCTGCTGCTGCAGTGTAGCCTGCTGCTGCTGTAGTGTAGCCTGCTGCTGCTGCTGCATTGGAGCCTGCTGCTGCTGCTGCTGCATTGGAGCCTGCTGCTGCTGCAGGTGGTGCTGCTGCATTTCAAGCTGCTGCTGCTGCTGCTGTCACTGGTGCTTCGAGCTTTACCGGGGAGGCAACTGCTGCTGCTGCTCTTTGCTGCAGCAGCAGCAGCAGCAGCAGCTGCTGCTGCAGTCCTTCTTGTGGTGCCGCCGATTGCGTCTCTGAGGCGAAGGTTTTCCCTTCAAACAGCAGCAGCAGCAACAGCAGCAGCAGAAGTGCAGCAGCAGAAGCAGTGTCGAGGTGCAGCAGCAGCAGCAGCTAATCACATCGCGCAAAGTAGCAGCAGCAGCTGCTGCAGCAGCAGCAGCAGCTAATCACATCGCGCAAAGTAGCAGCAGCAGCAGCTGCTGCTGCAGCAAGGGGTAGAGAGCCCCGTAGCAGCAGAAGGCTCACCTCTCAGCTGCTGCTGCTGCTCGTCGTGCTGCTGCTGCTGCTGCTGCTGCCTGGCGCAGCTCTTGCTGCAGCGTCTCCACTCTTTGCGCCCAAGAGCCTTCCTTTTGCTTCTGCTGCCGCTTTAGCTGCAAGTCGTAGCAGCAGCAGCAGCACAGCAGCAGCAGCAGCAGCACAGCAGCAGCAGCAGCAGCACAGCAGCAGCGGCAGCAGCAGCAGCCATAGATGGAGAGTGGAAGCAGCATCTGCTGCTGCACAGCGAAACCGATGACGTGTCTGCTGCTGCTGCGTCGGCTCGCACGGAGAGCTGCTGCTGCTGCTGCTGCTGCTGCTGCCGCTGCTGCTGCTGCTGCTGCTGCTGCTGCTGCTGCTTACCTTCTCGAGCTCAAGAGCAAGGGCCTTTTGCCTCCGTTCCCGCTGCTCCAGCTGCTGCTGCTGCTGCTGCAGCAGGCGTTGCTGCGCCGCGACGTCTTGCTGCTGCCTGCGAAGCCGCTCCTCCTGTTGCTTCAAAAGCCTGCAGCGGCAGCAGCAGCAGCAGCAGCAGCAGCAGCAACACTGGGAGCAGCAGCAGCAGCAGCAACACTGGGAGCAGCAGCAGCAGCAGTATGAACAAAACCCTCTTTGGTTTGCTTCGCACTCAAGTAATGCCGCGCAGCAACAATAAAGAAATATATGCAGCAGCAGCAGCAGCAGCAGCAGCAGCAGCAGCAGCAGCAAGAGTTGCTGCTGCTGCTTCAAAGTCCTCACCTCTCTTGGCAGCGCGCAGTTACTTGCTGCTCAGCTAGGCGTTGCTGCAGCTGCTCTTGCTGCTGCTGCTGCTGCTGCAGCTCTTGCTGCTGCTTCTGCTGCTGTCTCTGCTGCTTTTCCAGGCCTTCCATGAGATCGCGTATAGCTGCTGCTGCAGCATCCTGCTGCAGCAGCAGCAGCAAAAGCTGCTGCTGCTGCTGCTGCTGCTGCTGCTGCTGTTGCTCACCTGATTTTGCACTTGTGCGGTGCGCACGTCTCTCTCCATCCGTAGCAGCAGCAGCTGCTGCTGCAGCAGCTGCTGCAGCAGCTGCTGCTTCAGCTGTTGCTGCTGCAAAGTGGAGTGTACTCTCAGGAATGCTGCTACTGCTGCTGCTGCTGCTGTTGCTGCTGCTGCTGCTGCTGCTGCTGCTGCTGCTGCTGTTCGCTGTATCAAGGGAAACACGTTGCAGCAGCGCCCTCGCCTCCTCCACAAGATGCAGCAGCTGGGAACCGCTGCTGCTGCTGAATTGACTCTGCTGCTGCTGCTGCTGCTGTTGCTGCTGCTGCTGCTGCTGCTGCTGCTGCTGCTCTTGGAGATCTCTCCCGGTTGGGGTTGTGGCTGCTGGGGTCGGCCCGTCGCAGAGCTCGACAAGTCTGCTGTCGTGGCCCTGCAGCAAATGCTGCAGCAGCAGCTGCTGCTGCTGCTGCGGCAGCTGCTGCTGCAGCCGCAGCAGCCTGCTGCTGAGCGTCACTACAGGAGGCGCCACTAGGCAGTACTCGGGGGCCATCCTAGCAGCAGCAGCAGCAGCAGCAGCAGCAGCAGCAGCAGCAGCTTCTGTTGCTTCGGCATGCAGATCACCCTGCAGCAGCAGCAGCAGCAGCAGCAGCAGCAGCAGCAGCTGCAGCTAGATGCATCGGGGGCCTCTGCTGCGGCTGTCTAGGCTTGAGCCTTCTGCGGGTCTTCCGTTTGAAACAAAGAATTAAATCTCATTATTAAATTAAAAATAAAAATAAAAATAAAAATAAAAATAAAATAAAACTAAACTTCCAGCCAGTCCAAACTGTGCAGCTCTCCAGGTGTACAGACACCTCACCGCAGCCACCAAGGCCTCGCAGCCGACAGCCGCAGGCGGCCCCTGGGGGCCCCCGGGGGCCCCCGGGGGCCCCCAGGGGCCCCCCGGGGGCCCCCAAAGTAGCTAAAAAGGGAAAAGATTTAATAATTGCTTGTGGAATTGTTTTAAATTGACAAAATATGCAAACAGCTGTCGAAAAAACGAAGAAAAAGCAAAAATATGCAAGTCCACGGGGGCCCCAGGGGCCCCCAGGGGGCCCCCGGGGGGCCCCCGGGGGCCCCTGGGGGCCCCGCTAAGCAGCAAACGCAGCCTTCTTAAGCTTCTCAGCTGCTGGGGGGCCCCGGGGGGCCCCCCGAGCTTCTCAGGCCTTTCTGGGGGCCCCCAAAAGGGCCCCCGGGGGCCCCCAGGAGGGCCCCTGGGGGCCCCTCCAGCAAAAGGACCTTTAGGGGCCCCCAGGGCCCCCAACTGGAAGGGGGGGCCCCAGTCTAGGGGGGCCTCCAGCTAATGGGGGGCCCCCAAGGGGCCCCTAGGGCCTCTGGGCTGTTTGGGGGCCCCCAGGGGGAATGAGGCCGCAGCTGTAGACCCCTTCCCCCCTAAACCCTAAACCCTAAACCCTAAACCCTAAACCCTAGTCGTGGGCCTCAGGGGTCTACGGCCCGCAGCAGCAGCCCAAAAGCCCTCAGCAGCAAATCGTCTTCGGCAGACCACAAACACTCAAAGGAAACCCCAGGAGACCCGCAGAGGAAGGCCGACCGTTTGCTTCTCTGCAGCAGCAGCAGCAGCAGCAGCAGCAGCAGCAGCAGCAGCAGCAGCCTTGAAGCAGCGCGAGCACGGCTACTGGAGCGCAGCACGTGTCGCTGCAGCAGCAGCAGCGCCAACGCCCACAGCCAGCAGGACCGCCTGGACCCCCAACAGCAGCAGCAGAATCACAGCAGCAGCAGCAGCAGCAGCAGCAGCAGCAGCAGCAGCAGCAGCAGCAGCAGCAGCAGCAGCAGCAAACTCACCCTCTTCCACTCCCTGACAGCCCGCCCCAGTGCAGCAGCAACACTGGGGTGTCTCTGCGACAGCAGCAAAACTGTCCGTACAGCCCGCAGCCACAACCCCACACTTTCATCAGCCCCAGGGGGGGCCCCCAGGGGGGCCCCCAGGGGGGCCCCCAGGGGGCCCCCCAGGGGGCCCCCCTGGGGGCCCCCCTGGGGGCCCCCAAAGGCCCCGGGGGGCCCCCGGGGGGCCCCCGGGGGGCCCCCCAAGAAGTCATCAGGAGAGTCGGGCCGCAGCAGAACAATTTGGCGCGCTAGAGAGTGCTGCAGCGCAGCAGCAAACCCTAGAGGAAACCCTAAACCCTAAACCCTAAACCCTAAACCCTAGCGTGCTGAGGGGGGAGCGGGACGCTTCTGCTGCAGCTGCTGCAGCAGAAGTGTGCTGCTTCTGCTGCAGCTGCTGCAGCGCAACTCCCCTCGACGACAGCAGCAGCAGCAGCAGCAGCAGCAGCAGCAGCAGCAGCAGCAGCAGCAAATTACCCAAATCGGTTCTTGCTGCTGCAGCGGCACGATCTGCTGCAGCTCTGCTGCGTTGCAGCGAAGGCCCACGAGAGCAGCGCAGCAGCTGCTGGCGTCTGCTGCCCACAAGAAGCAGCGCCGCAGTTCTGTCTTGCTGCTGCTGCTGCTGCTGCTGCTGCTGCTGCTGCTGCTGCTGCTGCTGCTGAAAACAGAGAGGAAGGGCTTTGGCTCCTGCAGCAGCTGCTGCTGCAGCGCTGCCACCTGTGCCAGGGTCTGGGGCGAGAACCCCGAAGCGCCAGCGACTGCTGCTGCTGCTGCTGCTGCTGCGCTGCTGCTGCTGCTGCTGCTGCTCAGCAGCAGCGACAAAGCCTGGTGTACAGACACTCCAACTCTCACACACAACTCTGCTGCTGGTGTTGCTGCTAGCGGCCCCACATCAGCAGGCAAAGGGAAGGGACAAGGCGGCAGCTGACGGGTTGCTGGCATGCTGCTGCTGCTGCTGCTGCTGCTGCTGCTGCTGCTGCTCGTTGTTGGCGTTGGCTGCGGCGCACAGACGCAGTCGCTGCAGCAACTTTCTCACGGCCAGCGGCAGCAGCAGCAGCAGCAGCAGCAGCAGCAACAGCAGCAGCAGCAGCAGCGGCGGGAGAAGCAACGTGGAAGGGCAGCTCACGCCAGCAGCAGCAGCGAGCTGCTGCTGCAGCAGCTCCAGCTGCTGCTGGTGCTGCTGCAGCAGCAGCACGCGCTTGTAAGGGTCTTCAACAAGGGGCGACAGAAAAGCAGCAGCAAGCAGCGAGCTGCAGAGGCACCCCAAATCGCCGGCGGAAGCTGCACACAAACCCCAAACCCTAAACCCTAAACCCTAAACCCTAAACCCTAAACCC